CTATCGCCGGCACCTGTGAAAGATAAGACTTCCATTTTCTCTGACAACATCCTGGAATAACATCTCTTGTCTCCCTAGTTATGACATTAACACTGATACCATCTCAGTACCTTATACAGGCCTGCAAAAGGTCTACTCCAGATCTCATGTAAGGGTAGACAGAACCCCAAGACAGGGCTTTGCAATCACAGCACCATTCTTCAAAACAAACAAAAAAATCTACACGACACCTGTAGGATTTTTATTTCTGAGTAATTTTTTTAATCTTTTTTTATTAGAAATTACAAAGAAACTCTCTCCGGGAGAACAAGGAAAAAAAAGAACCCTGAAATATTTCCAAGCAGTTTTGTTCCATATAAACACAAGCAAAGTTACATATTACATTCACATGCATGTACAAAGCCATTTTAAGTAAAACATCCTTCACACATAACATGTGCATTAGTCTCAGAATTAAGCAGATAATCAGATTGGCCTCACCTACCCTACTTAATCTTATTTTCCTGTTTTCTTTTTAAATCATAAATTTCTATGCAGGCAACATCTCTGTTTCTGCACAGTATTATGCATATTCAAATTAGTATGGATGGTCTTGGAATTAAATCACTAGGCAGCACAGTCTGACATACAGCTGTATACTGAAGTCGTTACACTGTCATTTATACAGTGAACTTTGCTGGATATCAGGCAAAATTCTTCAAAAGGAATAAAAAGGTATTGCTGGAGGTAAAAAGGAATATGATACACAGCACTCTCTCAACTACAATCCTGTATGATTCCCATGCAAAACACTTCAAAAGCCAAGTAATTCACAGATCTTGCTCTCCAAATTGATATCAAAGTTCCCACCAATTTCAATCATGGCAAAATAAATCACTAAAGACATCGATGCTACTGGATATGGACATGGTCAATACTCAATATTGCAGTTTGCCATCCACACACCTTTGGGAAAAGAAGGGAGAAACATGAAAGAACCAACAAAACTGCAGACTCCTGAAGCGGGTGGGTTGGCAGAGCACTTTACCAGCAACCAACAAAAAAATGACAACTGCGAGAGTTGAGCTTCATTCCAACCCACTGCATAATCTAACTGTGGCTTGAAATTTGGGGATTACATGGTCAATGAATTCCTCGCTAGTTGCCCAAGGCTGCATTAACACCTAGCAAAATCTTACTTGATTCATCAAAAAAGCATATTGTCTGTATCTGACTTAGTGAAATTTCAAATCTAGCTCACAATTTCATGCATGACGAGCACCACTGTAGATCTAAGGACAGTAAACATTCAGAGGGGAAGGGCTCACTCAGAAGGTAAAGCTTCCACAGGCATAAAAGGAAACATCAAGCACACAAATGTCAGAAGCAACACTTAGCATAATGGGGGAATGGGAGATACAGATTTTACTCTGCCATCATTTTTAAATGTACAAGCGATGCTGATGCATTTCTCATCTCTGCATAAACATGCAGCCTAAAGAGAACCAGTAACACCTCTCTCTTACGCTGCAATGACACAGCTGAATCAATGGAGGGTGAATTTCCACTGTATTTAAATACACATGAAGCACTCGGGCTTGGCTTGTTGCAGAGTGTGTGTTACAGGGTGAAATGGGTGTGGAAAAGGGATGTGAAATACAAAAACACAATTAAAAGTAATACAGAACACCTGTACATGAGCAATATAAAGAAAGCACTTAAGACTGCTGCTTAGGAGGTTTAAGCTAAGCCCTGGAGAACAGCAGATTTTCATTTTTAGCCCATTTGAAATCTTGCAAATGAGCAAGCGTTGCTGGTGGCAGTCACTCTGTCCTCCAGCTCCTGAAAACAGTGCAAGGGGCTTAAGTGCCCCAGCCTCAAGAATACTTCACTACAACAGATTGGCAAAGCATCTACAGAGAAAGGCCCAATGGCAGGCGTCAGGTGTTCTCACAAAGCGTCAAAGACACAAGGGCCAAATCGAGCTGAGTCTTGAGGCCCTAGCCTACCACATTCTGTGTGTTGTGCAGAATACTGGATCTGCTGGTTTAGGTAAGATGGGCAGTCTGCTTTTAGCCCAGTACTACCATTTTAATGGCAAGCTCTACAAAATGTGTAGAGGAGAAAAAGGACTGGCCCAGCAGGAGGACGTCTCCTCTGATTCCCAGACAGGAAGGGCTGAAGTCAGGTCACTTAACTCAGACATTGATGGTGTGGGTATCTTCAGCTGAGGTAGTCAAGTTGAACTCACTTTATGAGCACAGAAAGGAAAAATAGACATTTCTAAAAATGCCATTCATCTGACCGGCTTTATACTTCTACTTCAAGGCCAGAATGGTGACCTGAGAAGCACTATTTCTCTTCAGCTGCAAATGGGGCCCAGAGGAACAAATTTAGCTGTACACATCTAAAGCTGAGTGAGAAGATACCACCCCAAATGCCTTCCTTGTACCTGTGAAGTTGAACAGCACAACTGCTTTATTTTTTCATGATACGCACTTTTGCTTAAAACCAGTATCATATAGGTCAGTAACCTTTTGGTGTCCATCTAAGCATTCCCCAGCCAGCAACAGCCCTACCCAAATGGAAGAAAAGCTCACAACTCTCACAAAACTCTCTGAAGGATCACAGTGCCTTTTCTGAATTGTAACTAAATCTCAAACACACTTCTAAGAGGCAAGCACTACTATTCTCTTTTTTACAGCTGAGAAAACAGGGACATTGCAGCATGCCTAATGGTGACTCAGATGGAATCAAAATAAAGATTTCCTGATACACTGGTCCACTGCTCTACTATTGACTAGGCTTCAAATAGCTAGAATTTACCCCCCCAGGAGAAACCTTTAAAACTGTGATGGACAATTTTAACTCCAATGTCCATAAAAGCCTGCGGTCACACATTCCTATTAGACATTGAGGAATTTTATGTTTGGCTTCCACTTCTATAAAGTGGAAAAGAAATACAGTTAGGAAAAATGAATTAAGGCTAGGCATGTTATACAGCAACAAAAATACTATGCCTGGAGCTCATTCTTTCAAAAGATAAACTTGCAATTGTAAGGACAAATGGGAGGACTGGTAAATCTCCCTCAAACATCCCAATGGGTTACAGGTATAAAGCCAGTTTAAGTGGCTGTTCATTCTTGATTCATGCTTATTCTAGGTTTTTTTGAGAGAAATACTGACTGAATCAAGTTAAAGACTGCATTGATCAACTGAGGATTGTGCAGAACAAAAAAAAAAAAAAAAGCCATCAGTCAGCTGAGCCATAAAAGCAAGCAGCAAAATAGATTCTGTTTCAGACTAAGTTGTCAAGATAACAACTTTGAATAGAGAACCTCAGCCAGCCTGCTGCACTCAATCCAATGAGAGCATAGGAAAAATTTGCATTGCCAGTACTGGCTCACACCAACAGTAAAAGCTCCGTCCTTCTCTCCAGAATCTCACATCAACTTCCCTGACCGGATGATCAAGAAATCAACTACAGAAGCAGCTCTGCTGGACTTGTCACTAACAAGAAAGAATTGGTGGAGAATGTGAATGTCTTGTCTGCAGCAGGCATGGAATTGTGGCATTTTAAATCCTGAGAAACGTGTACAAGACAAACAGAGTTCTGGACTTTTAGGATAATATATTTTGCTTTATTCAAGGAATGTCTTGGCAGGGTCTCACAAGGGACTGCCCTAGCATCCCAAAGGGGCCCAGGAGTGCTGCCTTATCTTCAAACACAGCTTTCTCAAAGTAGAAGAACAGTCCTTTCTGACAAGCAGAAAGTAAAGCAGGCATGACAGAAGGCCAGCACAGCTGATCAAGGAACTCCTGACTCAGCTCAGACACACAGGAAAAAAGTACACAGAGGTGGAAGTGAGGATGGGCTGGCCAGCAGGGATATCGAGACACAGCCCAAGCATGCAGGCACTGTTAGGAAAGCCAAAGCTCAGCCGGAGTTGAAACTGGTACGAAATGTAAAGTGCTTTTTTAAGTACACTGGAAGCAAAAGAAAGGTTAAAGAAAACATGGGTTTACCCTTCAACGATGCAGGCAACCTGATGACAAAGCATGCGTTTTGTACTTTGGGGCTGATGTATTCAACACCTTTTTTGCCTGTTTTCACTGGTAAGGTCTACCTTCAGGCCTGCCAGGTCCCTGGGTCTACTAGCAAAGAGTTACCTACAGTAGAGGAAGACCAAATTAGCAAGAACTTCAGCCAAATGGACATACCTACACCCATGAACCAGACAGGATGCATCTGAAGGCACTGAAGGAGCTGGCTGTCGGCACTGTGAGGCCACTCTGCAGCATCTTTGCGAGGTCATTATCAGCAGCAACGGCTCCCCAATCAGTGAAATAGCCTGACCTAAGACTGTCTTGTTGTCCACAAAAGTTAGCAAGAATGTAGCCAATACCGTGAAGGAAAATTATTATTTCTCTCTACTCAACACTTGTGAAACCATATCTGGAGGACTGAATCCACTTTTGTGCTCTCCAGTACAAGGAGGGTACTGCAGCAATTTCAGTGGGAGGCCACAAAGCTGGTTAGGGGCTGGAGCACAGGACATACAAGGAGAGGCTCAGGGAGCTTGGTTTCTTCAGACTTGAGAAAAGGCTAAGTGACATCTGATTGTATGCAACCACTTAATGGGTGGGTTAGAGAAGACAGAGTCAAACTCTTCTCAGAAATTAACAATGACAGAACAGAAGCAAGAGGCAATGAATGCAAGTTAGAACACAGGAAATTCCAACTGGATGCAAGAATATATTTTTTCTTACTGTGATGGTAGTCAAATATGGGAAAACATCCAAAAAGATTTGGCATCACCGTCCTTGGAGATATTCAAAACTCAACTGGACAAGGCTCTGAGCAACTTGATCTAATTGGCTGTGCTTCAAGCAGGAGGCTGGACTAGAGACCAGAAATTTCAAGACGTCCCTTCAACCCAAGTTATTCAATGATTCCATGGCTTAGCAAATCGCTTCACAACTACTTTCCACTGGTAACTTCCTCATTAATCTGCCAAAGTAAGCCATGACACCATCAAATGTATAGGGTGATCTTCAATCTCATGAGTCAGGCTGGAGTACAGAACCCAGCAAACCAGGGAGCTGAAGTGCACTACACATCAAATGTCTCATAATAATTTTATGCAAGTTCCCTCATACACCAGGGCCAGCCCTGTTTATGAATCGTAGCCACCATAGTACTCTCTTAGTTTCTTTCCAGTCTATTACATACCATCAGGATTAAATAAAAACACTATTTCTTTTCACATCTTCTTCATCTTTTTCTTGCAACGCTGGTTGAAGACAGGTGAGGATCCCATCAGACTGTCAGCAGAATGAGAACCGTAGCTGCTCTCAGAGCCATTGGGGCTCTGTGGCATCCCAGCTTCACTCATGCCTGACATTGGTTCCTCAAAGACATCACTGCCTAGGACCCCATGGCCATGTACATTGGTCTCCTCATTTTCCTGTGGCTCCATTTTTACCTGTGCCAAGTTCCAGAGTGGGGATGCATTCACCTCAGCCCCTAGAGAAAGAAAAAAGCACACAGTAGTAACAGAGTAAAAAGACAAATTACAAATGGCATGCAGATGCAAGGGACAGCAGCACTGGTAAAGAAGGAGCTAAAGCAAAGCTACAGGTGAACTAGGCAGGGGGAAAAAAAACACAACAAAACACACCAACCAGTGTGAAACAATAAAAAAAAAATCTGTTAGTTTGGGGTTTTTTTAAATGGCCAGTAATTGCCATTCCAAAACATACGATGCTATCCTTTCACAGCAATTCTCCATGTGGTTTTCTCCATGAGAAACAACAACTTAAATAGTCCACATTACTCTCCAGGAGTGTCTCAGTTGGCATGAGTACACCAACAGCACATGGATTAGACCCTACATAAGCAGGACTTAGAGGCAGTCCAGAAGTCATTCATGACGATGAGGTCCTTGCAACGTCAGCAACCTCCCTTGAGCTGTCAGACATACTGGACTTCTGGTAGTTCTGCAGGAGAGGTGAAGTGAGCGGGCAGAGCACTAGGTAGATGAATAGACTCAAATACCACTTCCAGCACTGAAATGCAGGGACATCAGAGCTGCAGTCAGCCATCCAGCTGCCTGCCTCCTTGTACTCAACAGCTCCAGGTGTCATCCCATCCTTCAGCAGAATGGAAAGAAACCACTCTTGGCTCAACCTCATAGACACCCTGCTGGGAAATAGTGCCCCCTTTCTTTTTTTTTTTTTTAAATAAACTTTTGGACTAGTGTGCAATCTGACAAGATTGAGGATCTTCTGTACAACATTACAAAACCATATTTCTTGATAAAAACAAATGTTTTTCTCCCCAAGAGCAGTAATTACAGATTGCATTATTTCCGCTTACTTACAGTTTTAAGAGAGACAAAAATCCTATTAAAAATACACTAATTGGGCCCCTTGCTGAGCTGCGCGTAACAGCCCAAAACTGAAGAAAGCCTGAAATCTTCTCACTTTTAAATCTGGTCCCTCTTGTGTCGGGTTAAAATTCATATGGAAAATAAAAAAACCTAGGAAACTAGTTTTAGTAGGTTTTCCAAACTTTGTGTCTCAAAGTGCTTGGCTACAGTTTGAAAGCACAACCAATCCTCTTGTACTGAGCCAAACCTACTACTATTCCCCATTATCAATATACTACTAACAATAGTCCCTTATTACTAGCAATTACACAGAGAACAAATCTTCCACCATACGTTTGTACTGTGAATTCTCCCTTATGAAGGAATCAGGAATCTTTTCCAGAATAGCTTAGCCCAAACCAGGGTTTAGGGGACCTTTGTGGTAACACAGCCTACATTAGCTCAGCAGTTAGACAGCAAGCCAGAATCAAAGTGCTTGCTGGTGTCCAGTTACCTTAATGAAAAGTCGTTCTTATGTTAATTATAAGTAAATGTGTTCCTCTCAACAACAATGGGCACATCATTAAAACGCTATCAGTTCCACAGAGTTGCAGCTCCAGTCTACACAATAATCAAAGATGCTCACTAAACTTACTGTGTCTTTCTTTCATCAATTGCTCTTCATTGCTCAGCCTTATTCCTTTCAGCTCTATCACCTGTCATTGAGAGTGTCACTAATGACTAAAAGTACTTAAGCATCCACACAGGATGTTTCATCTTCAAAGCACTTTAACTTCAAAGTACTTTACAAATGAGCTAATCCTCATGTTATCCTGCTGGGTGGAGGAACAAGGTCCCCAATTTTGCTTCCATTTCCCCAACTGCAATGAATTGAAGCAGCGAGCCCACAACCGCAATGTCAGGCATAAGCAGAAACACAAGCAGAACACGGAAGGCTCTAACAAGAGTTTTGCCCTCAGACATGGAAGCCTTGCTGCCATCTCTATGGGCCTCACACTTGTGTTTTCAAGATGGTGGTGTCCTAATTGCAGCAGCTTTTTCTCACTCCTTATGATATTATGCTCTCCAGCCTGCCCAGCTCTAGACTGGGACTTCTCACAGTGATGAGATTTCCAAAGGCCCTTGTGAAGTGAAGAGGGATTTTCAGGGAGGAACAGAGCACTTGTATTCTTAATTAGAAAACATCAATTTGGTATCAGAGAGGCAAGAAGCATTTAAAATACAGCTAGCATGCTAACCTCTGGGTCTCAAGTGGTAGATGCTAATAGAAAGCTTTCCAGATGAATCACTTGGAACCCCATACGAGCCAGAGGAGTCTGCTGCTCCCTCTCCCACAAAAATGTAAGCACTTCACATTTCAGAGGTACTACGGAAAACAATACGAGCTTCCAGAAAAACATTAGATGGATTTGTGCTTAAAACTCAGCAGAATGTGCTAGTTAATAAAAAAAAACCCAAAACCAAACCAAACAACAAACTAATGGACTCAGAGGTATACTCAAACCTCACCATATATGCTACTTAGTTTCAGGTTAATAGGAGGACAGGCTTTATTATTTTTTAACCATTTTCTAAAGTGAAATAGTTATTATTGCAGGGATTTCCAGAGTTCAGAAGGTTCTATACAACAACCAAAACTGGCTTTGAGAGAAGAATGTCTTCGTCAGTTTACAGAAAATTTAGCACTACTGAACAGTGCACAGAATAAAACTTGTATATAGATATAGAAAAGGCAGCAGACTCTCCCACGCTGGCCACCAGTGTGCTTCAATGCCAACATCAAGGGATGACACTTTGAGGAGAACAGTGCACTCTTATAATCCACTACTTCACTCACCATTTCACTTTACACGGCCTCAACTAACTACAGCAGGCTTTGGGGTAGAGATGTTAGAATAGGAGAGACTCCCACAAGCTCATTTCACATAAGTTGCTGATAAGGTTTCATAAAACAATGACTGTCAGTACCAGGGTAACATCTGAATATGGAGGACTGCATCAAATATCATTATTTCCATAACTCATTCAGTGCCTAAACTATATAGGGTCTTGAATTTACTCCAGGAACATGGCCTTCAACTTTTCAGTAACATGAATCTCTGGACAAGAATCCAAAACTACCAAAGGAAGAAAAAAAATCTGGTACGCTCCTTACTAGAAATAAGGATAAAACTCTAGTCTCTTTTAAATTAAAATGTATACATATATATAAACCCAAAAGTTATTTTTGTCTTTGTTACATCACACAGGAAAAAAACCCCAGTACTCACAACTGCAGCAAATACTCTAGTTCACAAAACAACAATAAAGCCCTCAGGCCATCACTGTTGAAAAACAATCTACCTCACACCAATAACAAAGCCAATAACGTAAACAATTCCCTAAAAATAAAGACCACATAAAGCATTTTGTGTTCTAAGGGGTCCATGAATGGAGTAAATACTTAACAAATTCTTGTCATTGATATCTTTGATTCTTTGTTTTTTCATTCAGAAAGCAAGCAAAGGTTTCTCTCCATCCAAATCTTTTTATTAAAACCTAAAAATTTTGTCTCCGTCTCCTTCCTCACATTGGGATCTGCTATTAAAAATGGAAATGAGATCACACGAAACAGCTGATAGACTGTTTCCAGCAGTAGCAAGAAACCCCTACCTGAAGTCTGCGGAGAAGCTTCTACTTCCAAGTTGGCAGAGAAGCGCTCGCTTTGAGCTCCAAGGACTCCAACAGGCAAAGACTGGTCACCGGAAGCCAGATCTCCTTCCAGCTCCTCACTTATGGGGAAAGTAATATCACTAACAGGTTCCTCCTTAATCTTCACAGGCTTTGTGTCTTCTGCTGCCTTTTCGGGGTTGACAATCTTCTCGTACTCTTCAGAGAGCTGCTTGCTAACCTGTCAAAGATCAGTGGGGGTGAAAAAGAGGCCAGAAAGGTCAGAATGACTTCAGAGACTCTAATGGCAATTACATTGCAGTGTGTTCTGTTCCCAGAATATTATTAACATCTGACCTGAACGAACAAGTAAACAGGTTATCAGCTACACAGGAAAGATATTTTTCCCCTTTAAGAACACCTTCTGTCTTGTAACAAAGGACTTTTTAATAAGAGTTTCAATCCATTGACATGTCTGCTTGATAAATATGAGCACCTTTATTTCACAGACAGTGATGATGAGGCCCCAAAATTTAAACAGAGCATGAAACAAAAGCAAAGTGTCTCAGTCTTACTTTTTGGTTTTACCTATAAGACTATCCCCTATTTGCCAGTAACAAATTTACTCCATCATTAAAAAACAAGCAGCTCAGATATTCATCAGCTCTGACGTCACCATTGGGCAAAGCCTGGGTATCTTCTGTCAGATTCACAGCAAAAACCACAGAAGTTTTCTCCAGTCAGAGAAGTGAAACAAATACAGAAATGAGATTTAGAACTACCTTGTACTTCTAGAAACTTAACTGTAAGCAATTAAATTAAAAATTTCAGATTTCATCTGCTTCTAACAAATGCTTGTTTATACCACTGAATCCCAACAGTCAGTGAACTGTGCTCAGGAAAAGCCCAAGGTTTTTTAACAGCAGAAGCAAGAAGGAAAAAGAATAGCAAAGCCTGTTTCCCCCTTTTAGATATACTTCCAAATACAGAGGCTACTGTGGACCTCAGCCCTGCATGAAGAACAGAACAAATAAGACAATGACCCGCTGCAGGATGACAGTGAACTGCACCAGCAGAATGATGCAGAAAACGCAAATTCCAAAAGGCGATATCTGAATAAAAGCATTTAAACAAAAATGAACCTATTTTTTTGAACAAAAACGTTTTTAATGAAGACAGATCATGATGATGTTATTTTTATGCAAAAACCTCAGACTCCATCACAATTTACATGCTACATGCACGTACAGGTGTCTCTGATTTATACTGCCTCTGCAAGGCACAAGGTGCCAACCCAGGGAAAAGGAAGACAAGGTAGATGCTCCAAGATGAGTGAACTGGCACTCAGATAATGTGACAAGGAGGAAGGGATGGCAGGGTTTGCCTTTGGTCACAGGCTACCTACTTGATTCAAATCTTGTTTTTTGATGAGGAGTAAAATTCCCACTTCAAATCTTTGCATTTCTGTAAATCCACAACAGGCAGACAGTCTTATATCATTCAAATAAAATGCATTTGTTTAATTTCACAGAATACCAGGACCAAGAGAAATCATACCCTTATTCTTACATCTACATTGATATGGCACCTCTTATTCCAAGGAATTTAACAATTCCTCTTCTTTCTCCACAGAAGCACAGTCCCCTCTAGAGTGGAAGGTAGCACCTGTGTGACAACTCAGATTAGCACAATACTACCCCATAGTCTTACAGCTTAAGCAAGTCACTCCTTGCTTAAGCCAATACAGCCAAGTAATTTTTGTTCATCTGCTTACTTGTTTTCTGAAATGGTAAGCAGCCAAATATCCCATTAAAGCAGAAAATTCAGTTAATCAGTCAGTACTGATTTTACCTCTACTTGATATTTTTGGCTGGGCCACTCAAAAGCTGGGGCATCCTCTTAAACCCAGACAAACCATCAGCAGAGCATTCTTAGCCTCTGCAGGGACACAAATAAGGGGGTCTGTCTTCCAGCCAAAAAAAATCCTGTTTCTCTTTTCCTTGACAACTCCCCTCCATACCCAAGAGGTTTTCTAATCTGAGTTTACTTCAGTAAGACCCAGGACTTGCTACAGGAATAAGCAATTGTACTGGGGGTGCATTTATTGGTGCCATCAGGTCCCTACTGCTCTTCTCACCTGAAGCATGTAGCTGTGATAATCCTTAATGCGGTGTTGCCAGAACTTCTGCAGCGAGAGCACACTGCCAATGCCCACTTCATGGAAGACCTGCTCCATGACATCAGGGAAAGGGGTGTGCCCAAGTCGAGCTTCTCGATCCACAGCAAAGCGCAGCAGTTTGGTGAACTTCAAGCAGTACTCGTGGGCAATGTCTGTCAGGGTCTCCAGGACACTCTCATTGGCACACTCAAAGCCTGTGTGAGCCAGGATGGTGGCCATTGACTGGTAGAGAAGCTGCCGGCAGGAGGACCAACTCAGCTCAGTCACTGGCTCCCCTCTGCCTCTAAAAACCAGAAAAGACAAAAATAGCACACATCCAAAAACCAAAAGGAATTTATCAGTTGAAGAGATATTGTCAATAGTAATGTGATGTACAAAGCAAAAGCAGACTGTTTGGGGTTCTTCTCCACAGCTTCTTCATTACATATGAATACTACCTAGTAAGGGGGTTTATCTGCTTTCCCGTCTTCCCCTCCCTCCAAATCATCACTGCAAATTCTCATTTCCCCTTCTAATACCGGAAGATTCTTTGGGTGATGCATGAATGTGGGATGCAAATCTTCTGAACCCTTAAGCAACTCCCTTCCCACCCAAGAGCTTTTCTTCTGGAGATGTGAATTAAATAGGTCCTTGACACAAACAAAAAAAGGCATTTTAAATAACATGAATGCAAATCATTTCCCCTCTCAGTTAATTACATTTCTCTTCCTTATTATCTCTGATGTCACAGGCCTAATAGATACAAAGGCTTTTGGGATAGACAAGATCTGAATTTATAATGCAAAAGACACACATAAAAAGCAAGAAACAGGATACATATACAGTCCATAAAGGGAACCAAAAAGATCATTTCCCTGCCCTCAATTTCAGTAGCCACTAAGCACAACACTGAAATAATTATTCCTGTATGCAACTGAAGAAGTGAACAGCAGGCCCTGGGAGGAGGCCTGGAGAGGTTCTACCATAAAGCTGCGCTCCCCAGCCTTGGGTTTGAGACCCCTCTTCTTGGTGTTGCTCAGTAGGAAGGACTGACCACGCAGGATGCGGGAGATGGAGAAGAACTGACATGAGCACCTCAAATATTCATTTACCATCAGGCAACCGATTTTTCATCAAGGTGAGTTAACAAATAGAAATTCCACATAGGAAAAAAAGAAGATAAGGCAAGGCCTCTGAAAGGTAAACATATTTCTACCAGATTTCTCAACTCAGAATTAAATGGATGTGGTGTATTTGCCCATATCAGTAACACAGTCTTCAAATGCTGATGTGAAAAAATCAAATTTCCTTTCTGGTACTTATATACTTTTTTACACTTCATTCAGCACCAAGAGCAGAATTAAACTAACAATTTCACCCTTCATTTGTTTCTGATCAATTTCTCCCAACATCTTCCACAGCCCACCCTGAGATTCACCTTGCTCTCACCCCACACTACACATGTATCACCACACACTC